CTGCTGGATTTGACTTTTTATATTCATGCATAATATTATTGGTATAATAAACTAAAGTAGAGTTTTATTCACAACTAATAATAATTGATAGTCGGTACAAATATTTCATGGTTAATATCAAAGTGATTCCACGAAAGTGATGAATCAATGAATTTTACAACGGCTTCATTGTGGCATAAGTAAAATAATATCTTGATAATATCCCACTAGTAAAATGTACGGCTTCTTTGCAATTTTTTGGCAGGTTTTTGGCTACTAGATGGCAGCACAAAAAGCGCGCGATAATAAACCACGTGGTATTCTGATGTAAATAATAACATTTGCACGCTGGCTTTGTGAATTCCTCGCGAACTCGGATTACCCTTCGAAGTTTCGGTTTTAAGTGGCTAATAAACACGAAGGAAATTGATAGGTGCGTATTTTATGTGTCTTAAATATGTTATGTATTCGATGAAGGTGCGAAATGAAGTTGTCATGACTCTAATTTTGTGTTTAAGAAGTTCGAACGTTGTGCCAATGCGTTTTGGTCGAGATTAGGCGTGTTATCAAATATCATGAGATACGGCCCTGAGTTGTGAGTGTAAACTAAAATGAATTACGCGTAATACAGCTAGGTTATTATACGTACATGATAGGTAATTGGCTTGCAGGTTTAAGTTGTCAGTTCGCCTACGGTTAGCAACTTAGCAGACAACTGTGTTTCAACAGAAACGAGAAGGGGCGGACGCGTTGCGTATCTGCTAGTGCTAATTAAGGTGCTATGTGGTAATTTTAATGACACATACCAAATGCAAAGCATTAATTATTATTACTTGATAACTCTAAGTGATTGTTATACACTTACGTTAAAATATCATTATTAGTACAATTATATCAAGTGTATGAATACTGTTTAAGTGTTACACGTTTCCCATGTCATTTCACTACTGACTCGCGCAGTGGCGTAGACAGGTCCTCAGTTGTGGGGGGGATGATTTCGCTGTTACTTCCATCATAATGTATATGAAGAGTGTGCGCTGCTCGCGCACACTCTTCATATACATTATGATGTACACCGCGAGCGCCTTGGCACAAAGCCCTTAATGGGTGGGGTCCAGGGGCCCGCCCTAGGGGCCCTGGCGGGGTGCAGGGGCAGAGCCTTGGATTTTAGCAATTTAGAACCTTCAAGATGGTCTTTTTTGAGGTAATTGAAAAAAATTGATATTGTAAGTGCAATTTTGTGAATTCGAAGGTAATTTTTTTCTTTGGATCCCAGAGGTTTAATAACACGCACCCCCCTCCACAGTCCACACACACACAACCAGTGGCGGATCCAGAAGTGAATTCTAGGGGGGTATGCGCATCTACACGCTAATTTCTCCAATACTAGACTAGCAAATACTTTCTGTCATGCATAATCATACTACTTTATGACAAAATAAACTCTAGTTTCTCCCATTTCACTGTGCGTTGTCTTATAAAAGGCATTTGAAAATACCTCCAATGTTGTTCAAATTCTCCGATGTTGTTGACACTTTTGCGTTGCTCTGCCAGGCAACCGTCCAGCGGTACGGGTGTAGCAAAGATAAAAACATGTGACGTCACCTAACCGATTCTTGGCGAAATTGTTTGGCAAACAATTTAGCGTTGGCGCCAGATTACCAGATTTTGCACCTCTTTCTTGTGGGTTTTAAGCAAACGGCAGTGAAATGGGAGGAACTAGAGTTTATTTTGCCATAAGGTAGTGTGATTATGCATGACACGAAGTATTTGCTAGTCTAGTACTGGAGAAATTAGCGTTTGGATACGCATAGTGCGGCTTTAATATGTCTTGCGAAATGTCTTATCATTGAAAAAATCGTTCACGAAAATTGAGTCTTCCTATTCGAACGGACTTCGATCACTACAACTTACGTCACTTCACTGTTAGATCTGATTTGGGTAGGAGGGTATGAGCAGATTCTCTCTCCCAGCAACACTAGTTGTTTGACAGAGGTGGGGAGCGTGGACACACATTGCAATGTGCCGTGTCAACTAGACTGGCCCTTGTCGTCGTCGCGTACCTCCCAGACGCAGCCGCAGGGACGCTGGCAGGTAGTCTACGTGCATCATTCGTCAAGCAGAGGAGTCGTTGCGTCGAGGTCAAAAATTGGTAGCCGACGCATTGACTCGCAGAGGGCGCTATACAACGCCTGCCTCTTGTCGGGTACCTGGCTATGTGCTCGATGCAGTCACCAGCACCAGGGTCTACTCTCTCTCGTGTGTCCGTGCACTCTGGTGTGCGTGCAGTGACGTTGTCCACTCTAAAGGAGCATTAAAACAGTCGTTAGCCAGTATAGAGTCAATAAATATTGAAACTTTGGTAGGCAAACATGTATGCATAACACAACATAAACGCAATCTCACACAACGTGGCAACACCCGCACACAGCATAGCAAATCAACGTGTGACTAAACATCAACATGTACAAATAACTGCACGCGAGGAAGGGTTGAACAGTTTGTGTTACGTCTTGACTCTTGACATTGTAATGTGTAAAATCCGCCGCACACGTGAGTAAAATGACTCGTGCGTCATTTTACTTGAGTAAAATAACTCACGTGTGCGCCGGGCTTTAAGCTGCAAAAATACAGCATGACTGGGTTGAAATTGTCAGAAGGAAACACAGCTAGAAATGAAGGCATGCCAGTTAGGCAGTTAAGACATGTCCGATATGATTTATGGGATGTTGAAAGTTAGCTTCAGGGGACCCGTTAGACCCGGCATGCCTTATAGGCCTGGGGAGAACCCTAGTATCTATAATACACGTGTTCCTACCTTTCCAAGGCTATGCTGATAGTTTAATAGCTTTTTAGAAGTATATCTGCTTTATTAAGTTAAAATTCCACTCAACTGCAGGGCCGTAGGCTGAGCCAATTCCTGGGGGGGGGGGCAAAATTTCATGACTCGATCAACTGTGTAATGATGAGCGACGGCCGCAGCTCTTGATCGACGTCCATAGTGTGCTAGGGGTGGGTCTGAGACAACGCTTTCACGGATAAGTGACGAAAAAAATCACATTCTAGGGTTATTCACTATTATTAGCTAAGGGTATTTTTTAATTGTGCTCAAAAATCAAGGGGCAGCAGGTCCCCCCCCCCCAGAGGCTACGGCTCTGAACTGACCAAACCTATTATAATAACACATTAAGCATAGCGCAGACCTGAGATTTTTTCATGTAACTTGACCGATTCTAGAATCGCTGTAAAAATTGCTGTGAAATTGTTACGTCTGCGGAAATGTGCAACTGCAACCCGTAGTGATTCTGATCACTTGCGACGAGTTGCAAGAATACAAACTTCTTTGATTTCGAGCGACTCGTCGCTCCCAATCGCTCCCAAATTGCTCTAGAATTGCTTCGAAATTGCATGTGTGCGCACACGCGGTGACACATCGACCGATCGCTTGCGGTTGCCGGTTGCAGCGACGCGCAACCAACAATTGCAGGTCTGCGCTAGGCTTTAGCTAATGCAGGTTAAAAGCATTCATACGTCCCTCTGGAATGCACTCTATAGTTTATATAGGCTGGGTGGCAAACTGTGTGGGTTGCTAATATTGCCTTGAAAGACTAAAAAAAATTCATACATATGTGTAGTCACTGGTCAGAATCCTCTCAGCTCTATTATATATATATGACATGTCATGTGTAGCTATATTAAAGACATACAACGAGTAGAGTTGATAATAAATGTTTAATTCTCGCAACTAGCATTCATTGGCTTACGAACTCTAAGACTAAGAGTTGTTTGGCGTTTTAAAAAACTGACTTACGTTGCATATCTGTAGCTGGGATTGATTGAGAGCGTTAAAAGTTAAAGAGCTGTAGTTGGTACAGTCATACCAACATGTTTAACTTTGATAGGCTTTAGTAGGCGAGGTTGATATTAATGCTTGGGTGTAGTATTGTAAGTTAGTAGGGAGTGGTGTTTTGTTAACCAGTAGGTTGGTGCGTGTAAAAAACTGGACAAGTTTGCAGATAGAGCTGCTGAGAACTTGCAGTAACGCTAGCTAGTCGTTTTCACAACTGGTAACGTAGAGGAGAGAGCTATTACGATGCACTCAGTACAGATTTAGAACGTCAGACAAACCTTGTACCCTCTTCTCATTAACTGGTCTGTACTGGTCAGTTGTGCACATTACATGTAGCGTAGCAACATTGGGTGACAGAATTGTGTTACAGAGGCAGTCTGAATTGACATACATGACAAGTTATTGATTAACTGTCAGAATAATATGGAGTCTATAAAAATAATAAGGGCTGTCAGCCTGTCACAGTCAGTGAATACATATACCTGCCATGCGGTGAGAGTATTGGGGAAGGGCAGGGAGCACACATATAAGCAGGAGTCTATCAATATATATTGATTATATATTGATTATATATTGATATATATATCAATATATTGATAGACTCTTGATATTAGTCATAGCTGCTGTTACATTATGTCAAGAGTACATAAGAGAGTCTCTATGTATTATGTACTCTTGATTACGTACAACACACCTGGCAATATTTTTCATCTTCTGCGCCTTAGTTCTAGATGTAATTCCATTTGTAAGCTTACTGCAGAGAATGTACAGTTTGACCTGCTAAAATGTTTTTCTGTATTAACTAGCCTGACTGATGGGCTCTAGTGAACGGTTACCACTCTTTTCCTCTCGGCATAAAGTTTTGCCAAATAAGTTGGTAGCAGGTGTACATTGAAATGTGCTTTAGCGAAAACGGGTTGGTTCTCGAAGTTTGATGGCTTACTAATACAGTGTACTCATCTACTGTGCCAACCGATTTAGGGTTTTTAAGTGACTTGACACAGCTAGTAACCATTCCTACAATTTGACACCTAGATCACGAAGCATTAGTGAAAGGTACTGCAGCTGTTGTACTATATTTGACGTCGAATAAGCATAGAACGAATTGTAAGGAATCCGTTTTTCTATTTTTTTTTTTTAAATATTTTCGCAGAGTTTCAATGCAGTTACG